AGGCTGAGACAGGAGAATTGCCTGAACCCAGGAGACGGAGGTTGCGGTGAGCCGAGATCGCACCATTGCACTCCAGCCTGGGTAACAAGAGCGAAACTCCGTCTCAAAAAAAAACAAAAAAAAAAAAAAGGAAAAACAAGGATTTCAGTGAAAACTTAAAAATTTTTTAAAATGTAATTCTCTAAAATCTACTTGAATACTTTGCTTTTTGTTATATTAGATAAATATCATGCTCAAAAAATGTTTGGCTCTAAAATATTCTCACACAAGGAAATGACAAGATTAATGAATACCAGAAATATCTTCTACTTGTAAAGTGCTTTTGTCTCTTGGGGCAACCCTGATCTACTTGATAACATCTCTTTTTTTTTTGTCATCATCCTTGCTTAGCTCTTTTTGGCTATGAAAATACATGATACCAAAATGTATGTTGAACAGTGAGCTAGAAATCAGAGTAACTGATGTATAAAATCAGTAATCATGTATACTTAATATTGGCATATAAAGTCAATAAGCTGTTTCTTAACTATAAATTATAATAATGAAACATTTGCAAATGTTCAAAATACTTTGCAAAGTACTTTTGTTAGATATTATTTAATGAGTACATTCTATGTGCCAGTCTTCTAAGCTCTCTTTATATATTGACTTACTTCATTTTCACAACAGCCTTCATACACAGGAAGTATTATAGCTCTTATTTTAAAATAGTAGAGTTGAGTTTGTAGTTCAGTCACACAACTAATAAAGGAAAAAGTAGAACTTGAACTCCTGCAGCCTGGCTCCCGGACCCTGATCTTAATCTCTGTACTCCATATGCTCTTCTACATGCCTCCATATTGTTTTTCACTTATGTTATCTCTCCTGATCCTTATAAATCAGCCCATGGTTCTCTAGATCAAGTATTATCATTCTCAGGGAACTGAAGATCATTGAGGTTAATTACATAGCTAGTAAATTATAAAGTCAAGTACCTGAAACCAGATGTGTTATAAGCCATAGAAAAATACACTGGCAGGTGTGCTAACCCAAACAGCAGCATAGGCAAAACAAATTTATAAACCAGGATGGTACTAATATATTCCCTGGAATGGATCTTAACAGAAATTCACCCTCAAACTCCCACACTGTATACCTGTGTTGATGCTTATAATCCTTTCTCTAGAGCTCCCATAAAAATACACTACTAATTGTGTAGCATAGAAAAATGGAAATTTTTTGTCTCAGAGTTCTGGATGCCACAAGTCAAATCAAAATCAAGGTATTGCCAGGGCAATGCTCCTCTAAAGGAACTAGGAAAGGATCTTTTCTGGTTCTCTCTCTTAGGTGCTGGTTCTTCCTAGGTTAATGACAATGTAATTCATATTTTCACATGGTGTTCTTCCTGTTTCTTTGTCTACCTTTCCTTTTTGGGAGGGTACCAGGCATATCGGTCTAAAGAGTTACCATACTCCAGCATGATCACATCTTAACTAATTACTTTTACAAGACTGTTTCCAAATTAAGGTCACATTTAGTGGGCATTAGGGCTCAGATTTCATCATGTGAATTTGGGTAGGGAAGGCACTATTCAATTAAAGAAACACTTTTAAGCAATGTACATGAAAAGGAAATAAGTATATATTCATAACCTATAACTTATGCTGGAACTCTGGATGATTAAATACAAACAAAATTACTGCCTATTTTACAGCTGCATAGTTTAAGACTGGACTAAGGCTTCAGAGCTGTTAATGGAGGGAAAACCAGGGCCTGTGATGGAGGAAAGGGGTACTGTCCATCCTCCCGTCTTAAAAAATGGCTGCATTAATACAGCCTGTTTATTATCCTGTACAAAAGGCTGACTATATAGGCTGAATATATGGCTGATTAAAATTACAATCTCCAAAATCTTTACTCTCTTCTGACTTACGTATTTCTCTTTTATGAAAGATAACTGAAATCTCCAGTATTTGCAGTTTGAGAGACAAAGATTCCAAGAAAGGAAGTAGCTGTATTTGAAGTTGCTCTAGGGAAATCAAGCAGTTAGTTAATTAATTACTTGAGGAATTATCAAAGGGAAAAATTATCAGAGCATCATTGACTTCAGAACTAGAAGAAATCTTGGAGATGATATATTTAAGTCATCTATTTTCAAAGCTATAAATATGAGTCTTAACGGAGCCCACCACATCAGCACTGAACAAGGCCAGGTTGGAGCTTGAGTCCGGTTTGTTGTAATCTCTATCTTGAGTTTCTCTTGTGGTCCTTTTTACTATTAAGTCAATGCACCCAAGGTAACAAAGCAGCAAAAATCTATGTGAAATGAGGCCCACACTTGTTTTATTGTCATAATAATTTTTCTTTACAAACTGATGCCACATTGTTAGGTGCAAAAAAATGTGCTGAATAAGGAAATGAACATTGAGAATTCATGACAAGCTGCTAAATATTTTTGGAGGGAGAATGGGGGGACGTGCGTGGTGGGAAATTAGATATAGGGATTGTAAGTCAGCCTGGATTCTTGACTAGCGTTTTTAGGTCCCTTGGAAGACAGGAGAGATGTTTCAAGGGTCTGTGATGGTTAAAGTTTGTAAGAGGACTTTCCAGACATCAAAATTATTAAGCGAACTTCAGGTCTCTTCATTTTTCTTGAATCATTGGTTAAGATTCTCCCCACAAACATTGTTACATAAGGTCTATAATTTGGCAGTTACCAAGGTAACAATATGTTTTAGAACAAATAATAAATGGGCCACATCTTTGAAAAGAAAATTGATTTGTGAAATGAAATGTGAAATTAAGCTCAAAGTATATTTCTTCTGTATTATTCTGTATTATTTCAACTATGAAAATTAGAGCAGAAGAACTTTTAAAGAAGTTACAGATAAAAATTCAACTTTCTAGAATTTCTAATGATATTATTTGCATTTTAAGCCAATTTTAAGCTTAATATTACCCACCAAAAAGGAGGGCTATTGATAGAGTGCCATTTTAAATAAGACTTCTTTGCTATACACTGCAATATGTGGTTTTGCATGACGCTTCAATCTTTGATTACATATCTTGCTATAATGTTTTAAGAATGATACTTTATCCAATTTGCTAATAATAAAATGTGTTTAAACTCATGGATGTTATATAAAACATAACAGTGTCAGGATTACAACTTCATTTTTTCTGACATTCTAAAGTACCTGAATGCTGCAATTTAATATTTAAGGCAGAGCCACTATAGTGCTTGAAAAAGAAAATACTGAATCTGGATGGAACTCTAAAACAGAAAAAGAACATTAGGCATTAAACATACAAAATCCCAACTAGTGAAATCTAAATAGAGTATGGAATTCAGTTAATGCTAATGTACCTGTGGGTTTCTTAGTTGTGGCAAATGCAGAATAACAATGTGTTAGCAATAGTGGAAACCAAGTGAAGGATATATGATGACACTTTCAGAAGAGTTATCCTTGCAACATTTCTGAAAACACTAAATTATTATAAATAGTTTACTAAAAAACACAACTACATGTACATGTATACATGTTTATACTCCGAGCCACCATACATTATATATATCTACCATAGAAAAAATGTTAGAGTGAGCCATCAACAACAGACATTGCTTCCTGGGAATCCTAGAGTATTATAAAGAACAATAAATGTAACAGCCAATATTACTATTAATTGGGTATCATCCTAAAGACACTCCTCATTTTATCCCCGCACTTTGGAGTCCAAGGCGGGCAGATCATGAGGTCAAGAGATTGAGACCACCCTGGCCAACATGATGAAACCCCATCTGTATTAAAAAAAACACAAAAATTAGCCAGGTGTGGTGGTGCGTGCCTGTAGCTGCAGCTACTTGGGAGACTGAGGCAGGAGAATTGCTTGAACCCAGGAGGCGGATGTTGCAGTGAGATGAGGTCACACCACTGCACTCCAGCCTGGCAACAGAGCAAGATTCCATCTCAAAAAAAAAAGAGAGAGAGAAACTCTTTATTTTTTCATTTTTTGTCCCTCAACCTATCACCCACTGTTTCTTTTTCAGACCACAACTCTAATAAAACTAAATCTGCCTATAGTTTAGAGAAAGAAATATAATAGACTCCTTATTACATGCAGAGCTAGTCAAAACTTGGTGACATCTCTCCAATTTAATCGTCCACACACCCCATTGTCATCCCATCTACAAATTAATGATTTTCACTTCTCTCAATCTGCCATACCATAATGCATTGCTATTTCTTTGCATATGCCATGACCTCTGCCTGGAAAATTATTTTCCATTTATCTCTGATTGTTCTATCCTTCAATTTTTTTTTTTTTTTTTTTTTTTTTTAATAAAGAATCTCACTGTCTCGCCCAGGGTATAGTGCAGTGGTGTGATCTTGGGTCACTGCAACCACTACCTCCCAGGTTCAAGCAATTATTTTCTCTGCTTCCTAAGTAGCTGGGATTATAGGAGAGCACCACCATACCCAATTAATTTTTTGTTTATTTTGGAGAGACAGGGTTTCACCATGTTGCCCAGGCTGGCCTCCAA